CGCAGAAGCTCTGATCCTAGTGGAAGTAGGAGAACCGACCTTGCGGTACTTCCAGGCGGACGAAGAAGCAAATAATGATGCATTGCTGGTGTGATACCCAATTTTTCCCTCATATCTCTCAAATACACGTATATACCTTCAAAGTAGTGCATGAGCATCACCAAAGTATTTTTCCATAATTTTTTTTATAATTTTTAAAGGCTTTTAATCAATTTATTCCTGCATTTTTATATAAATAATTATTAGTTGCATCACAAATAATTTTATAATGATTCATTATTTAAGTTTTCATCATTTATATCCATATTAAGCTTTAAATATTTTTATGTATACTTATTTTGCATCCTTAGGCTAAAATTGCATATTTTTTCAATAATAGCCCATATATATGCATAATTACATTATTTACACAAATATTGACTTTTATATTTTTATAATGTTAAGTAATTATTTTAAATTATTTTCATGCACAAGTGATATTGTTGTTATTTATTAATTATTTTTTATAAATTATTTATTTGTTAAATTGGGTATTTAAAATATAGCCCCCCCTAAAACCCCAATTTCGGACCTAGGCCAATTACCTACACTACCCAATTACCCCAGCCCAATACACTAGCCCACATCATACACCCAATACACCAGCCCGTATCAAAGACACAATACCCAGACCCATACCCGTTTAAAACCCCGACCCAATTCCCTTTTTAAATCACAGCCGTTGATCTCTGAAGATCAACGACTCATATCACCTCACCCCTTTTAATTATACCCATCCGCCCAAACCCTAATCATTTTACCCCAACCCGCCGTCTCTATACACTCCCTCTCCTTCATTATCTTCCTCACAAAACCCTAGCGCCGTCAAGCGAACCTCCCTGATTCTAAACCCAAAAATGGAATCAATCCATGATTCCTTACCTTATTAGGCCCCTTCTCCTTACTGGCTACCCGAATTTGGTATTTCCTAATGGCTTGCCTAAAATGGCAAGCAGATCTTAAGAGATTCGAACCAAATCTGGTTCAAATCTTTGACCTCTTTCCATCCGTGTTCGTTCTCATTTCTTTATGGTATGAATCTATGAGATTCTTCGCGATTTTCTGCTTACCCTAAAACTAGGGTTCAGATCTTTCAAGATCTAATTTGGTTCTTGATTCTTTGATTATTTTTCCCTTAATTTTTCCGTCTATATGTGTCTGTGCATCTTATTATAACTCTCTTCTTTAATTTCTGACTGATTTTTACTTACCCTAAATTAGGGATTTTTGATTCTGCGAAATCAAACCAAATCTGTTTGATTCTTTAATTATTATATTAAACTCTCTGTCTATATGCCTATATGCATCTCTTTGCTTGTTATTACTGCCAATTTTGTATATTTTACCTAAAACTAGGGTTTGAGACTTTTAATCTTTCCTTTCTTGCATGGTACTGATATTTTTCTTATTTCGTTCAATCTACCATGTTTTCTTTATTCCTTTACCTTATTTTGCCTTGAACCTGATTGTTAATTGATTCCATATGATATCTTCCTTATTCTAAGTGTTACTCGCCTGATTACACGCTATTATGCTCTGTTAACTTACCGAACTCTATACAATTGATTGTGGGTTAAATTTCTTTCCTTATTTGTGTATGTTTGATTTCTTCCCTTATTTATTTGCCTAATTGAATACTATTTAAACCCTTTTCCCTCCCCCCCTTTGAATAAGACTCGAACTCTATAGACTCCCGCTAAAATTTAAAGTTTCTGGTTCTATACTCTCTCTGTTCTCTCGCTTACTACTGGTCTTGGCCGGCTGAAAGCCAAGGCCAAACATTCTGGATTCTCAACTTCGTGGTATTATTCTGGTTTTGCTCGCTTAACTGGTGAATGACTATCCTTTGTCATACCATTTTTATGTGTTCCTGATCTGTGTTTATAATCCAGCATGTCTAAATCCATCTCTAAGCATGATTCTACCTGTATACATGCTTTTCTTTTAATCATATAGTTAACACTATTAATTTTGATTAGTTGTTTTGAATAATATGAATCCTCTTAAGAAAATATGCTCAATCTGCCTCCTGTATGTTCTGTACCTATTCTGAATTTGAGAACCTTGAGAACAATGTTAGAAGGTTGAGTAGTCAATCAGTCTTAAGCCTTTTGAACTTGTATTGTCACTAGGCTTTTGGTTCTGTCGTTTATATGTTTGATAATTTGCTTTCTAACATGTCTGAAATTCATGTTAGTGTTCTGATTGTTTGGCTTTCCTAAATACTAGCATTGAATACCTAGCTTAACTAGACTGTTAACCAGACTTCAACTCATTTGAACTGTGTGTTTGAGCATGAACCTTGCTTGTTTTCTGGGTGCAATTCTGCCTACAAGTTCTATGTCTTAGACTTTGTTTTCTTTTGAAATCAAAACTGTTTAAATTTGTCTCTCTTTATATGCTGTTGATATTATTTATAGGCAAATTGATAACAAAATGCTCTAATTGGTGTTCTTTTGCATCTCAGGGAATAATCTAAGTGAGGAAGCACTACGAAGTGTTTTGGAGTCAATATTGTGAAGAAAACGCCCACATCAAGAAGTACCCGAGCATAAGGAAGCAAAAAATGGGCTGAGTGAAATCCACCGCGACTGCGGTGGAACCGCGGCATATCAAGTACTCGGGCCAGAATGTTCAGCGTTCATCGCGGTCGAGCCGCGGTCTTGCCGCGACCGCGGTGAACTTTTCACTCGTCAGAAAGTTTGGGGACCAAAGTGTAATTCGGGGAACACTTGTTCCAAACCCTTATAAACTTTAGAATCTCGCCCAAGACATGTTAATGCTTGTTTTTTGAGACTACTTTGGAGGCAAGAACAAGTGTGAGAAGAGCAACAAAACATTAGAGTTCTTCTATCTTCTCTTTATTATTGCAATTACCCATTATGAATAATTCAGTAGTTTTATCTTGTTTTGTTATGAGTAGCTAATTTCTTAGTCTAGGGTTTTGATGGAACCTATTGAAGGATGAACTTCTTGTTATGTTAATATAGTTTGCCCGGTTTAATCTCTATTTGTTCAACTATGTGCTTGTTGTAGTTAATTGATTGGATCCTCAATTAGCTGTGCCTATTTAGTGTGCATAACTCGGGAGAGAGTGCATATTTAGGTTAATTATTGAACAACACCTCTCCCAAAGTACATGAGGGATCAATAACTGAGGGTTTAAAGGCGGGATTAGGGATAACGAAGCCTTGGGTGCAATCTAAAGTGAGCTGTAATAAACAAAGCTAGCTAGCGTATCTCGGGAGAGTGCGTCTAGTAAATTATCGTGATTACTCGGGAGAGATTTACGGTAATAAGAGTGCTAATGATTGATAGAGATGATTAGGGAATTCTATGTGACAAATAACCGGAAGGGATTCCATCAATAGGGGAAATCATAACCTTAGAACCTTCTCTTAATTGTTTACAACTTAATCATAGTTAGTTTTTAGTTGCTTATTTACATTCATTCTTAGTTAGTAGAAACATCATCAATTGTTATTCAGAACGTTTGGCAAGTTGATTCCATAGAATTTAGTAAGTCTAACGAGAGTAATTGATAGGTTAATTCCTTGTGGGTTCGACTCTAGGCTAAATACTCAGATTATATTTGCAATGTCCGCGTGTCCTTTTTATAAGGCATAGTTGGGCATGATCAAATTTTGGCGCCGTTGCCGGGGGATTAACGGTGTTATCAATTACAATTGAAAGAAATACAAAAATTCTTAGTGTAGTCAGTTTTCTCTATACCCAATCTTTACATTGAAATTTTAACGTTTGTTGACTTGGTTGTACATGTGCATGCCTAGAAACTCATCACGAACTGGTGAAGTATTCGAAGCTTTATCTGATCCCGAGAAAGTTTTTAAGGCCTTGAACCGGGCCAATCAGAAAAGCAAACAGCAACAAACAATTGAACAAATCGAACCAAACATGGGAGATCACGAAGAAGACCCAGCTGTACCAATAGCGCCTGTGGCACCTCTTGTGCCAGAGGCTGCTTTCTATGACTGGGCACAACCCGTAGCTGAAAATCTGGCCAGAGCGATTTCAGTCCCACAAATACAGGCTGAATCGTTCCAAATCACGAACAACATGCTGCACTTGTTGCAAAACAAGGGACTATTTTCGTGGTCACATGTCGAAGATCCTCAACAACACTTGAAGAATTTCCTGTCAATCTGCAAAACTCAAAGGCAGCCCAACGTATCTCAGGAAGCAATCAAGCTATTATTGTTTCCATTCTCAGTGATAGGAACTGCCCAGACCTGGCTAAACTCACTCCCCATTAATTCCATAACAACTTGGGAGGAGTTAGTCAAGCAATTCGTGAACAAGTTCCACCCACCCAACAAGACTGCTCAATAAATTGATGAAATTTTGAGTTTCAAACAGAGACCAATGGAAACACTGCATGAAACATGGGAATGATTCAAAGGGATGCTAGTTATATGTCCGCACCACGGTATTCCAAATCTGATGTTGGGTCAGCGATTTTACATGGGATTGTCTGATAGCGTGAAAGGTAATGTTGATGCCTCAGCTGGTGGAGCATTTTTGAGAAAAACATGGAGGGAAGGCCAGAGTCTGCTTGATAAGATGGCTCAGAATTCGGGGTGGACAACAAGGAGCGCACCTATTACTCCAGTGGTTCACTCAGTGCCCCTAGATCCATCCAACACTCTTGCTGAAAACATGGCTACGTTAATGACACAGATGAGTATACTCACCAAAGAGGTGGAAGAATCAGGGCAGAAGCAGCAGGTACATATTGTAGACACTACCAATGGGGGCTTATGCACATCTTCATTAGTCAGCCAATTGGTAACCAAAGGAATTCAGAAAGTGATCATTATCACTACCCTGAAGACATGAATTATGTGTCTAACTATGGAGGCTAGAGACATGGTGGTCAAAATTGGGGTCAGCAGCAGCAGCAGCCATACAGGCCAGTCCAGCCACAGTTCAACAATGGAAACATGGGAGGAATGAGACCTCCCAATAATATGGCGCCTTACCAAAGGCCACTGGGATACAATAATCAAAATCAGCAGCAGGGGTATCATCCTCCTCAGCAACAGCGTGGTGGACGGTAGGAAGATGGGTTTACTAGACTTGAGGCAATGATGCAGCAGGTTATTGGGTCTAATGCAAAAATTAGTGAAAGAGTAGATGCACATGATTCAGCTATCAAGAATTTTGAAGTGCAGATGGGCCAGATTTCGATGTCTCTAAAAAATCGTCCTCATGGGACATTACCTGCAGATACTTAAATAAATCCAAAAGATCAAGGCCCGAAGCAGCTGATGACAGTGAGTCTACGTAATGGCAGAGACTTAGACGTGGAGCAAGAGAGGGATCGAGAAAGCAGACAGGCTGAGACACTTATACCAGTGCCTATTGAGCTAGATGAGTCAACGAAACTGACAGAGGTGACAGTCCAGCCTGCCCAAGAAGAACAGAACATTCAGATTGAGGCTGAGAATGAAGCTGAGACAGCCCAGGAACAGGTAGTTGAGGTGGCAGCTGACAAAGAGCAATCCCAAATCATTGGAAAGAAGAGACCTCCCGCACCATTCCCTCGGAGGCTGGCCAAGTACCAAAAAGAGGAGCAATACAAGAAATTCTTGGAGATGCTGAAACAAATCCAGGCAAATATTCCATTGATAGATGCTTTGAAAGAGATGCCTGGTTATGCAAAAATGATGAAGGACTTGATGTCCCGGAAATTTGATTTCCAAGACTTGGCCATGGTGACGCTTACTCAGACCTGCAGTGCAGTGGTTACTAGACCAATTGCTGAGAAGCTATCAGACCCAGGGAGCTTTACAATTCCCTGCACTATTGGTAATTTTGCTTTTGCCAAGGCACTTTGTGATTTAGGGGCGAGTATAAATCTTATGCCCCTAGCGATCTATAAGAGGTTGGGGATTGGAAGATCCAGACCCACCTTGATGTTGTTGCAGCTGGCGGACAGGACCGTGAAAAGACCATCTGGTATCTTAGATGATGTGTTGATTCAGGTAGGGAAATTTCTGTTCCCTGCAGACTTTGTGATTCTAGATTGCAAGGTGGATGAAGAGATCCCAATAATTTTGGGAAGGCCATTCTTGGCAACTGGGAGAGCTCTCATTGATTGTGAGACTGGGGAGCTCAAGATGAGATTGAACGATGAAGAGATAACATTCAATGTGCAAAAATCTATGAGGCGACCAAGTGAATTCGCCAATTACTCTCTTATTGATGCCGTGGATGTAATTGTAGAAACTGATGATGAGATGCTGACTATTGAGGACCCTCTTACTGCATGTCTGATGAATTTAGATGAGGTGAATGGGGAAGAACTGGCGGAATGGGTATTGGCTTTAGAGGGTAGAGGGTTCTGGGATAGAACTCCTGAATTTGAGCCCTTACACTTAGAAAACAGAGAAACTCCTCCAGCCAAGCCATCCATTGAAGAGCCACCAAAGCTGGAATTGAAGCCACTGCCCGCCCATCTCAGGTATGAGTTCCTTGGACCTAACTCCACATTACCTGTTATTATCTCATCTAGTTTGTTAGATGTGCAGGCACAACAACTCTTGCAGGTACTCAAGGAGTGTAAGACTGCCATTGGGTGGACCATGGCAGACATTAAGGGGATTAGCCCCGCCTATTGTATGCATAAGATTCTACTGGAAGAGGGACATAAACCTTCCAGGGAACACCAACGAAGGCTGAACCCCGACATGAAGGAAGTGGTGAAGAAAGAAGTGATAAAGTGGTTGGATGCGGGAATCATTTTTCCAATCTTCGACAGCAGCTGGGTTAGCCCGGTGCAATGTGTGCCTAAGAAGGATGGCATGACAGTGGTTAAAAATGATAACAATGAACTGATCTCTACGAGAACCGTCACAGGCTCGAGAATTTGCATGGACTATAGAAAGTTAAACCTGGCCACCTGGAAAGACCACTTCCCACTTCCCTTCATTGATCAGATGCTAGACAGATTGGTGGGGAGGTCGCACTTCTATTTTCTGGATGGGTACTCAGGGTATAATCAAATCTCTATTGCACCTGAGGACAGAGAAAAGACCTCCTTCACTTGCCCTTATGGCTATGCCTTTCGGAGGATGCCATTTGGCCTATGCAATGCACCCACCACATTCCAAAGGTGCATGATGGCCATATTCACTGACATGGTAGAGGACATAATGGAGGTATTCATGGATGATTTGGGGAACTCATTCGATGAGTGCCTTATAAATCTGACTCGGGTACTGAAATGGTGTATTGAGACTAACCTGGTTATTAATTGGGAGAAGTGCCATTTCATGGTATAAGAGGGTATAGTCTTGGGGCACCGGGTGTCAAGTAAAGGAATTGAGGTGGATCGCGCTAAAGTTGACGTGATAACAAAGCTGCCACCTCCAACTTCAGTCAAGGCAATCAGGAGCTTCCTCGGGCATGCTGGCTTTTACCGGAGATTCATAAGAGACATTTCAAAAATTGCCAACCCTCTCTGTAAGTTGTTAGAAAAAGATCACCTCTTCTTGTTTTCTAATGATTGCAGGGTAGCATTCGAGGAGCTAAAAAAGAGGCTGGTCACAGCACCCATCATCGTTGCCCCCGATTGGGAGCAGCCATTTGAACTCATGTGTGATGCCAGTGACTACGCAGTGGGGGCAGTGCTGGGACAGCAGAAAGACAAACTAATGCATCCAATCTACTATGCCAATAGAACGCTGAGTGGAGCCCAGCTGAACTACACTATGACTGAGAAGGAGATGTTGGCTGTGGTGTTTGCTTTCGATAAATTCAGATCATATCTGATCGGCTCAAATACACTGATCATGCAGCTCTCAGGTACTTGATTGAGAAGAAAGAGTCAAAACCGTGCCTGATTCGTTGGTTGCTGTTACTGCAAGAGTTCGACCTCGAAATTCGTGACCGTAAGGGCACAGGGAATCAAGTCGCTGATCATCTATCACGACTTGAGGGAGCTGAAAGTTCAAATGAGGTTGAGGACATTCTTGAAACCTTTCCAGACGAGCAACTGCTCGCTACAAGTCTTGAGGAAGTGCCATGGTATGCAGACTTTGCAAGCTACCTGGCGTGTGGTATAGTTCCCTATGATCTTTCCTCTATACAAAAGAAAAAGTTTTATCGTGACTGCCGAATGTATTATTAGGATGAACCTTATCTGTTTCGAATATTTGTTGACAATATGATCCGAAGGTGTGTCCCCGAGATAGAACAATCTTCTGTTTTGCAGGCATGTCATGCATCGACGTATGGAGGGCATTTCGGAGGAGTCAGGATAGCTGCGAAAGTGCTAGAGGCCGGTTTCTTTTGGCCAACAGTGTTTAAAGATGCCTACCAATGGGTGAAGGGCTGCAATGAATGTCAGCGAACCAGGAAAATTTCCCGTCGCCATGAGATACCAATGAACCCGATTCAAGAGGTGGAAGTGTTTGATGTCTGGGGGATTGACTTCATGGGACCCTTCGTCAGCTCCTTTGGCAATAAGTACATACTTGTTGCTGTAGATTATGTTTCCAAATGGGTAGAAGCTGCAACATTACCCACTAATGATGCAAGAGTGGTGGTGGGGTTTTTGAAGAAGAACAAATTCACCCGTTTTGGGACACCGAGAGCTATCATCAGTGACGGAGGCACCCACTTCTGTAATCGAGCCTTTGAGAAGTTGCTAGCGAAGTATTGTTGATACCCAATTTTTCCCTATGTATTTTTATACCCAAAATATCCTCAAAATAGCATATACATGCATATATAAGCATTCCCAAGAGTTTTGGTATTTTTCCTTATTTTAACAGTACAAAATCCAATAATAATTCCCAAAATTATTATTTCTTTTTAATAACTTATTTTATTCTCATATTTACACCAAATATAATTAAGGTAATTTTTTTGTATATTTTTACAAATTTGTTTGGTATTTTTAAAGCTAAATTGCATGTAATTGCAATTATAGCCCATCTTGTGATTTATGACATTTTACGTTTATATAATTAGTCCCAACTTTTTTTTAATTAATATTTATTTAATACTTATTTATCCAGTATGTTTAATTTGTTTTTAAAATCAGTATTACCATTTTTGTAAAATTAAAAGGGGAAAATTAGCTATTTACAATTTGGCTTTATTGCATTTCAATTTTAGCCAATTTGGCACTACATCTCAGCCCCAATTTAAAAACCCAATTACCCAGCCCAATTAACACGTCTACTCGACCCATACCCTTTCTATCATACCCAAACCCGTTCCCCCATTTAACCCGTTTAATCCCAGCCGTTGATCCTTTAGATCAACGGCTCTCCTCTTCCCTTTCCTTTTTTAATTCAAAAGTA